ATGCGATACATATGACTCTGCCAAATTCCTGTGATCTTTGCGCTCAATATACTCATGGACGGTGCTGTTCTCCGTGGGCCACTTATCCAACAGATTGTCTTTGACTAGACGATGATCGAAGATGCGATTCTCGAGATATGATGTGGCGTGATATTTCATGATGGGTGTTTGTTTGTTTTTTTTTTTTGTTTTTTTTTTGGTTGAATTGGGTTTGATTAATGCTTAGAACTTTTATTGCACAAGAACTGCACTCACTATGGGAATACTCGATTTCAACATTAAATCTTTAACCGTTTCGGTTTTAGGATAAATACTAGGATAGCGTGATAGCAAATTTTTATCCTCGACGGCCCAGCAAAGCATAGCAAAACGCGAAGTAATAACGTTTACGTCAAAGGATGTGCTAACAGAACGAATTATCCTTCCGAAATGAAAAATTTTCGAATACAAAGGAATTTTTTGCGCTAATATGAGACAGAGTGGATGTAATATGTATGTAAATAAAACTCTTATTGACAAAACCGTAATTACATGGAAACCAAGTCGTTTTTATGCATATTTTGCATGATGTTAGAGATACTTGTAAACACACAAACGACTATTTGAATATAAAGTCAAGTGGTTTTTTTTATGTTCTATATAAACAATCGTAGGTTATCGAACGCGTTTAGCAAGGAAAATAGGCAAGGTTAGTTTATATGTGCATACATACATATGTACATACTTAGGTATTTATGTAAATATGTATTTACTTGTAAGCTGCATGCAAATGTGGAATGTCCAAGCAAAATAAAAGGTCATAAAAAAATGCACCAGCAAACACCGTGCGACAGTAAATTTTACACCAAAAAAAGTCAATATGCCCGCGAAACTAAGTGTCAAATATAGTAAAACTGCGTTTTTAGTTTTCTTCTCTGACGTCGGGATTTCTTTTAAGAGGCCTCTGAAATTTCAAAGCATGGTTTATTCAAAAAATTATTTAAAAAATGCTATACAACGATGAACAACAATATGGGTGTCAAATAAAAGAGAAAATTCTGTAGAATTTAAAATCTTTAAATTTGTTTAGCACAAGTACGAACAGGTATTGCCAATATCCGTTTTAAATTTTACAATTGAGTATCCTTAAAAATTTTCAATATTTACTTTTGGAAAAAGTTATGTTGAACACTTATATCAAAGACAACTCATTCTCGATTTTCGTTTTTCAAACATTTTTTGTTTAGCATAAAAAATATGAATTAATAGGGCATTTTCAATACCATTTGTTCTTTTGGACTAAGAATTTTTTTTTTAAATTCTGCAGAATTTTCTCTTTTTTTAACCGACTTCCAAAACAGGAGGAGGTTATCAGTTCGTCGGAATATTTTTTTTTTTTATGTATGTTACCGCATAACTTTGCACCACGTCAACCGATTTCAATAATTCTTTTTGCAACGGTAAGGTAGTGTCTCAGAGGTGGTCCCATACTAAATTGGTTTTGATCCGATCATTGGATCATGAAATATATAGATATATATATTTTTTTTTAAGTCGGTTTTTTTTGCTAAAAATTACTTGTTGGTATAAATATTCTACTGAATTTTTTATTTATATATTTTTTAAATTAATCACATCTTTCGCATAGACTGAAGCGCACTGTCAACGAACTGATGGGGCCTTACCAGTGTTGCTTTAAGATGGCAAATCCACCATAGATCAGGTATTCACAATACGCAAAATCTTGTATTTGGCGATGTCTGAATTTGGTATCCCCGCGAAATTAATACGGTTGTGTAAAATGACGTTGAGCAATACCACCAGCTACGTCAGATTTGCTAAGGACCTATCCGAGCCATTTGACACCAAACGGGATTTCGTGTGATTTCACACGATACTTTATCCTGCCGTCTCAGAATTACATAGATAAGCAAAGCGAATGGGTCTGGTGGTGAACGAGGACGAAACGAAATATCTGCTGTCACCAGACAAACAGTCAGAGAAATGGTACCTACGACACTGTTAACAGTTACAAGTTTGAATAATCTAAGCTTGTGCTGTTATTCCAAAATAAGTTAATAGTAAAAAAATATTTTTAAAACAAATATGAACGAAATCGCAAAAATAAATATTGGTTTACCAAATATCCCGACTCCTGCGCCACCTATCGTCGAACATTTTTATGGATTTATTCCTTTTCATCTTATTAGTATACGTTCTAAATATGAACCAAATAGGATTACACATACGGGGTTTTCAAATATATCGACTCCTGTGCCACCTATCAGACTAATTTATCTTTCGTATTGCATTGCCATCGGGTTCTGAGCTAAATCTGAAGTTTCAAGTCTCTATGTCATCGGGAAGTTGGCGGAGTCTCCGATATAAAGATTCTGGTGTAATTTCACTAGACAGAGCAGACGCTCTTTCCCTGCTCGAAGAAGCGCATATACCGTTCGGTTCCAGAGTCGCTCAGCATGGTCTATATCTAGTCATCAAGTGCGACTGCTCATGCGAGTAGTATAACGATGAAGTTGGCTTTGTGGTACATGTGCTGCCAGAGCGCTTTGCTGGATTTCCCAATATAGATGACCCGAATCGACTTTAACAACTGCCGTGCATACTTCGGGAGATAGCAATCGTGTTCGGCACTGAAATATTTTGCGGCACGTACAATTTCTAGCCTACTACGGATTGTACCTGACGCATCACGTAACATACTCTTGCTGAAGGTGTCTTCGTTATTATCCATGAATTTGGAAAAAAATGGTTTTTGGAGAACGTAGCGTCTATCACAAGGAGATATCTTCTCGATCTAGGTATTTTCATTTATCAAAGCCATGGGTTGCGTGGTGGAAAATAGCTGTTTGGAGAGAGCACAGGTATTACCTGGTCCGCAGCCAGTATTAGCATTGTCACCTTCGGCCATCGAAGCTACCGCCAGAGCTTCGAGCAGCAATAATTTGGAAGATTTGAGGGGCTGCAGATGGACTAAACTGATGCTGCGTCAATCTCAGAAGATCTTGCTAGATACATATTTGCTTTCATTGAGCACAAAAGATTCCAGAAAACTTGAGCGGTTGCTGACTGGTAACTTCTCGTGGCGCATACACCCGGCTGTGCTCGGCATATATGGCACACCTATTTGTCCTTCCTGCCTTGAAGAATATAAGATGCCGTGAACATTTTTTTATGATTCTGTCATGTCTTTGCAAAGGTTAGGTATGAGGCTTTTGGCAGCGATGTGTTAAGAGACGAGCAATTGAGGAGGAGTTATACTCTTAATCTGGTGCATCTGACTCTCCGTTATTTTGCTACCCTGAATTAGGAGGTGGCAAGTCGAGATAAACGGTCTTAAGCGATTTCAATCACTGAGATTAAATACGATCCAATGTTAGTAACAAGAACTCATTATGGACTTATTTAATGGATGTTAGTTTCGTTGCCGTTAGCGTACTCTTTAGGTCTACAGCTCTATAATTCATTCACAAAAGGTGTTGTCATACCTTTAAAGCTTTTGTTGCGCTAGATGTGGTTTCCTAGACGGAGTTGAGCTGGAGGTTTTTTGAACTATCTGCACATAAGCATAGAATAGGCCGCCTACCTCCTTAATTTCAGCAAGGGCAGGTAAAAGGTAAAATAATTATCACGCGGAAAGATGCATGCACACAATGTCTACCTCTGTTCCAATCCCTTCGAAATTACATCATTGGAACTATCAACTTTGAAAGGAAATTAGTGTAGAACTAGGAAATAAAGCAAGCTGGGGTGACTCCAATCTTAGGAAATGTTCCCAATTATTTTAATACATAGACGGTTCGGGTATATTCCGACGATAATGGCAACGCCATCTTCGGACCCGAGCCCAGGTTGTCGGTTCCAATCCAGTAAGTTTGTGTGCAAAGATCAATATCCAGAGAAATATGCTAATTGGGGCATGATCGCCTTAAGTCATGAGTCAACCAGCACTTATCGCAGCTCTGGGTACTGGGCGATGACGACAAAACGGAAATTCGGGGACAGGCGGCATTGCCATGAAGGTTGCACTACGAGGGTATGAGTTTTTCACCTTCAAAAGGGGCGCTCACTAACGAAGAAGCGGTAAGAAGGAGCGAGCAGTGATCTGCCGAGAAGCAAACGACTGCGCAACGGAAGTCGAAAGAGCTACTGATTATATATTACCTGATTATATATTACCCTATATTAGTAAATATTACATAATGTACCAAGAGGTAATCGTATTTAAATAGAACATTACAGATTAAGAAGTCGTCTCTCCGAATGCGATGCTATATCAAGGAAAAAGGAGAGAAACCTCAGGTAACCAAATAAAGTACATACACTCCTATTTACAAATCAAATTATATATCGTAATGTACCTTTTAAAAGGTCTACTTTAGGGCTGGAAGTATCCTTATATTCGGATATCCGTTCAGATATTCGTGTGTACTGATACGATCTGGATAAAACTCCTAGCCCTAGTTTACATACGACGTAGAAGATCCATTTACAGGTCTATTCTGCACGTTACCGAAGATTTTGTAACCGGAAAATTGTATTACCAAAAAATGTTACCAGTTCTTGTCACCGCGATTCTAGGTACGTTGGTAATGCAGTTAAAATATTCAGCAATTCAGCTATGAAGAATTGTACAAATACTGGCATTGCATACTTCACGGGGCAATAATTTGTTACCAGCTTATGAGATGGTAACAAAATTTACCGGTTACAAGAGTACACAGAATGCGTAAAGGGTTTAAAAATTGACAGGAACTTTATTTACCGGTTACAAACTTTTTATTACCAGCGCAGAATAAACCTGTTAAAAGAAATTTACCGTTGAATGCAGAGTGCAGTGATAGGATAAATACTTCAAGAGATAATGTACATATATTATTTTTTATACCTGTGAAATGGGATTACAATTACAAAAATCGCTCTCAAATGAAAATTTAAAGAAAAAAAAATGTATATGGCGCCGGTAATATAGCTTTTCTCACACAAAGAAATTAAATACCTAAAACCGAAAAACTGAGTAAGTCATATTATTATGCATTATTTCCATTTGCGATGTTTTTGAGGCCCCTTTATAATACAAACCCTCCCAAACAAAACTTTTACCATGACGGTGTCCCCAGCTGTGTGCGTCTACAACTGTCAAATCTGTTTGCCAGAATAGAAAAACACACCAAAACCACGGTGAAAAGTTAAAAACTATTGAAAAATATAAATACATATAACAAATAAGATTAAAATAGAAGCTGGAAGCAGCAAAACAATGGTGATTGAAAGTTCATCTAATGGCAATGAAGGTAAATCCAATAAAGATTCAGAGGAGCCGCTACAAGCGGAGCCAGAAGCTGACGTCGACTCGGAGGCCGCGAATGAAGTGGAGCGCCAAGAACGCGAGGAACTTAATAACTTTATAAATGAATTACAATCAAAAATTAAAGCTAAAGCGCAACTGCGTGTTGAAAATCTTAACTGTGAACATCCTGGTGATGGTTTCTTTGCCAAACTAGATTCCAGCTTGAAGCGCAACACTGCATTTGTCAAAAAGTTGAAGCAGTTCACCGCTGCTCAATTGGATGCATTGCTGAAAGACATGAGCGCCCTAAATTTGAGTAAATACATCTCAGAAATTTGTGCGGCACTTTCGGAGGCAAAGTTAAAAATGACCGATGTACCGGCGGTGGTAACACTCTGTTCCCGCTTACACCAAACTTACGCTGACTTCGACACGCAATTTCTTGAAGCATGGCAGAAAATTCTTTCTTTAAAACCAGGTGAAAAGATCTCAAATCCAAGTAAATTACGTGTGGACTTGCGCTTATTTGCTGAGCTTGTTAGCTCGGGAGTGATCAGTGGTAAACAGGGGCTGCAATTACTTGGATCCGTGCTCATCAATGTGATCTCGCAGGATAAAGAAGATCATAGTAACTTCTCAATCATATTGTCTTTCTGTCGACATTGCGGCGAGGAGTATGCTGGGCTCGTGCCACGCAAGATGCAAAATTTGGCAGAAAAGTATGGTGGAGTGGTGATTCCTAAGTCGGATTTCCTAGCGCCCGACAGACAGCAAAATTTGCGTGGTTTATTAAAGGATTATTTCAAAAATTTATGTAAGCACTTGCTTTCCGAACAGCAGGAGCTGTTAAATATGACCAAGAGCATACGGCGAACTATGGAATCAAAAGGTAAGCCACATGCATTTAATTAAGGATTGTAATTTTCAACATTTACCCCATTTCAGGTGAAATCTCGAATGATAAAAAAGAAAAATGCGAGCTAATGCAAGCAAATTTCGACAAACTACTGTCGTCAGCACAAACGCTCTCCGATCTACTCGATGAACCTTTACCGGAGCTTGCAACAGAATCAGAAAATTGCAATCCGGGTACGGTTATCGAAAATATGCTCGAAGTTGCCACAATGGGAGAACTAGATCCATGGGGCGATGATGAAACCAAAAGTTTTTACACAGATCTGCCAGATTTACGGCAATATCTTCCGAATTTTTCTGCTCCAAAAATCGATTTGGATCAAAATGAAGAGCCCACGGAGATGACGGAGGAAGCACTTGATGCGGATATTGATGTGGAGATGGATATAGATGACCCTCCCTCAACAGCATCAGATCCGCCGAATGACAAAGACGCGGAGATCGCAGCCGAACCAGGTAGTGAAGAGTCGGCGACGCCAGCACCGTTACCAGACAAAATCGCAAACGCCCTAATGGAAGCTGGGCGCATGGGTGCAGGGCAGGTGTCCCACAGCAAGCAACATTTCGATCAATTTTTGAACAATTTAAATAATTGTGTCAATAAAGAACTTATTGACTCGGCAGCAATTGAGTTCCTGCTGAATTTCAATACAAAAAATAACCGTAAAAAACTCACGAAATCAATCTTTACGGTGCAGAGGTAACTCAAGTTTATTTATATAGAATTAAAAATTAAAATAAATCTTTTTTTTATCTCAGAACACGCTTAGATTTGCTGCCGTTCCTATCACGTTTTGTCGCTATTGTCAATCTTTGCAATACGGACGTTGCCACCGACTTGTCGGAAATGCTACGAAAAGAATTTAAATGGCACATACGCAAAAAGAATCAGCTTAATATTGAATCGAAAATCAAAATTGTACGCTTCATTGGCGAGATGGTTAAATTTGGTCTCTGCAAAAAGTTTGACGCGCTCAGTTGTTTAAAGATGTTGCTACGTGACTTCCAGCATCATCAAATTGAAATGGCTTGCGCATTTATTGAAGTCGCAGGCGTATATCTCTACAACTGTCGTGACTCCCGCTTACTTACGAATGTCTTCCTCGATCAAATGATGCGCCTAAAAA